CTCCGTCCTGCGCTGCCGGAGGGCTGGTGCTGAGTGCAACGGCGACTGGGCCGGGCTTCCTGGCGGCTGCTCGGCTTTGCTGTCAGATACCGACTGACACTGTCCCTCGTGCCTGTGCGAACTGTCCTCCTCAGCCACAGGCTGCATCCCCCACGTTCGCCCTTCGTGGACTTTGGGCCGGACTGCCGCTCTCCTCGCCCTCCTCGATAGGCCGGAGCTCCTCGGGCTCTTCGTCCGTCGTGCCGGACGTGCTCGGCTCAGCCCCCGGGTGGAAGTCCTTCAGCTCCGTCTCTTTGTCAATGATCACCCACTCCTTGCTATCAAAGTCCTCCTCCTCTGCCAGTGGCACCGAGCGGAAAGCGTTGCTGAGGGCCTCGTGCTCCACGGACGCAGACACGTCCATCCGGCCACTCGCCTGACGGTCGACGTGGCCCGTGTCGATGGACAGCATCTGCGCTGGTTGGGAGGAACACACCAGCCGGGACGGGGAAGCAGGTAAGTCCACGCGAGATCTGAAAACAAGACAAAGACCTTTTAGAGACCAGTTTGTTTGCTAGCCAAGAGTTAGGATCGGAAGGACGTCAGGAGCCAACACAAAACCCAAGTGGTCTCTCCGAAAACCCGGGTGATCCCTTCCCAACCTTCTGCCATACGCCCAAGCAATATTTAACCAAGCTTAGCCCTCAACACGCAACTAGAGCCTCCAAGGATATAAAGAAACCCCTCCGGCTTGCTTCCGGATTAGGGCCAACGTCACGTCTCTTCCCGTTACACGACTACAAGGATCATAGAGCCGTAGAACACTAGAACGGGAAGGGACCTCGGGAGGTCACCGAGTCCAATCCCCCGCCTTCACGGCAGGACCCAGCACCGTCTAGATCAGGGGTGGGCAAAGGGGCCTTCCGAAGCAGGTTGATCCAGTCCACGGAGGCCCTGCAGCTCCCCCGCCACCAGCCAATTAGGGCCTAGGGACCAGGGAACTGGACACAATACTCCAACAGAGGCGTAATCGGCGCAGAGCAGAGCGGAAGAACGACTTCTCCTGTCTTGCTCACAGCACTCCTGTTACTGCCTCCCAGCATCATGTTGGCTTTCTTTGCAACAGTGCCCCACACGTGCGCCCTACACATCCTCGTGCCCCACACCGAGGCGATACAAGGCTGCATGAGCGACACCCCCGCCCCTGTTCTCTCTCAAACACAAAGTCTCTCAGAGGAAACTCTAAATAAGAAGGAGCAGGCAGCGGCAAGGGGAGGACCTGGCAGCGGCAGCCCCTGGGCGACTGGGGGGGGCACAGTTCCCGCTAAGATGTGCGCCTGCAGGGCCGCACACAAAAAAAATCTTCCCCTGCCCACGTCCTCTGGAGAGCCACGCGGCAGGTGGCTGCTCTGGCAGGCAGGGCTGGCTGAGATGGCATGGTAAGAGAGCCACCGGGGCAGGGGGCTGGGACCTACCGTGGCTATGTGGTGGGGGGAGGCCTGCTACATGGCCAGGGGGGTGGAGCCTGTTCTGGCAGCTGGGGCTGGGAACG